TCTCTCTCTCTCTCTCTCTCTCTCTCTCTCGGTGTTTGTGGGTGTTGTGTTGCAAAGCTGTACGTGACGGCCCCTCCGAGGTGACATGGACTAGACGTTACTGCGGGATGGACTCAGTTTAGTCACTTTTGTCCCTATCCCCTGTGTGTGTGTGTGTGTGTGAGAGAGAGAGAGAGGCACCACCTCCGCCCACCTCCGCTCGGCCTCCGCCCACCTCCGCTCGGCCTCCGCCCACCTCCGCTCGGCCTCCGCTTGGCCTCCGCTCGCCCTCCGCCCACCTTCGCTCGCCCTCCGCCCACCTCCGCTCGCCCTCCACCCACCTTCGCTCGCCCTCCACCCACCTTCGCTCGCCCTCCGCCCAACTCCGCCCACTTCCCATCCGCCCACCACCGCCGACCGCCCACCTCCACTCACCTCCGCTCACCTCTGCCCACCTCCACTCACTCCGCTCACCTCCGCCCACCTCCCCTGTTTTCGCTCACCTCTGCTACCCTCCGCCCCCTCCGTCTCCGCTCATCGCCGCCCCCCTCCGCCCCCCTCCGTCTTCACCCGCCTTCGCCCACCTCCCGTCCGCCTCCTCCCACCACCTCCTCTCTTCCACCTCTGCCACTTCTCCTCCGCGTTTGCCTCTTCCCACCATCTCCTCTCCGCATTTGGAGCTCCGACACCGCCTCCGCTCACCACCGCTCACCTTTGCGCACCTCCGCCCACCTCCACTCACCTCCACCTCACCTCCGCTCACCTCCGCCCACCTCCTCTCCGACTCTGCTGACCTTCCCCTCGCCCACCTCCGCCCACCTCCGCCCACCTCTGCCTCCGCCACCTCAGTCCACCTCCCGTCAGCCTCCTCCCGCCATCTCCTCTCTCTTTCCTCTCGTTCGCCTCCTCCTGCCATGTCCTCTCTTCCACCTCCACCACTTCTCCTCCACCTCTGCTCACCTTCGCCTCGCTCACCTCCGCCTCGCTCACCTCCGCCTCGCTCACCTCCGCCTCGCTCACCTCCGCTCACCTCCGCCATTGCTCACCTCCACTCACCTCCGCTCGGCGCTCACCTCTGCCCACCACCGCTCACCTTCGCCCACCTCTGCTCACCTCCGCTCACCTCCGCCCATCTCCCCTCTGTCTCCTCTCACATCTGCCCACCTCCGCCCACCTCCGCTCACCTCCGCCCACCTCCGCTCACCTCCGCCCACCTCCGCTCACTTCTGCCCACCTCCGCTCACCTCCACCTCAGCTTCGCTCACCTCTGCCCACCTCCGCTCACCTCCGCCTCTGCTCACCTCTGCTCACCTCTGCCCACCTCCACTCACTTTCCCCCACCTCCGCTCACCTCCACCTCACCTCCGCTCACCTTCGCCCACCTTCCCTCCGTCTCCACTCACTTGTGCCCACCTCCGCTCACCTTCGCCCACCTCCGCTTACCTCCACCTCACTTCCGCTCACCTCTGCCCACCTCTGTCTCCTCTGACCTCCGCCCACCTCTGCTGACCTCCGCTCACCTTTGCCCACCTCTGCCCACCTCCGCTCACCTCCACCCACCTCCGCTCACCTCCACCTCACCTCCACTCACCTCCGCCCACCTTCCCTCCGTCTCCGCTCACCTCCCCCCCCCTCCGCCCGCCTTCGCCTCCGCCTCCGCTCACCTCCACCCACCTCCACTCACCTCCACCCACCTCCGCTCACCTCCACCTCACCTCCACTCACCTCCGCCCATCTTCCCTCCGTCTCCGCTCACCTCCGCCCCCCTCCGCCCACCTCTGCCTCCGCCCACCTCCGCCTCTGCTCACCTCCGCTCTGGACTCTCTAGGCTTGTTGAACTGTCTTTTCAAGGCTTTTTCGCCGTGGCTTAAACTCGGTTGTGAGTCTTGGCTTGGAGAGACTGTGAACTATTTCCACTATGCATATTTTCTCTTCAGTTTGGGGTGTGCGAGGATTTGGCTCCTCGCCAGACGTAAAGGCCCCATTTTATATATGTGCCCGTCCTAAGTGAAGGCGGGCCTGAGAAAATCACGAGAGGCCCATTGTTGTCAATTTCGCATTCGGGGTTCAGGCAGTTGCGTCGTGTCAATTGGTTGAAGGAACCCGGGCCACAGCCAGCAACACTTTGTTTCGGCCTTCTAGGCCTTTCTTGGAAGCAGGCCCTGGGCTGCGTCTGCAGCAGTATACACGATAGGCAGTTGGGAGGCGTAACCAAACGGGGCCCAAGGCAGTAGCAGCAGAGGCTCAGCCACCCGGGGCCTATCGGAACCTTCTGGGCACAGGCCCAGCCTAGCCAGTCAGCGATCAGGCCATACACTTTCCATATAGGAAAGTGCCCGCTGCCTGGCCAGGTAGTCGGGCACTTGCCATTCGTGCGACAACGTTGCTTTAGCCTGCACTCGTGTGTTGTGCGCTGCGCTGTGCAAGGTGTTCGCACATGTGCGGTCGTGTAAGCAGGGCACTACTGTGGGCAGCGCCATAGCTCGGCTTCCATAGTCGGCCGGGCTTGGGTAAACAGCAAGGGGTAGTGGTGCTCTTCGTGCATGAGGGTGACGACGTCGGTGAAAGACAAGGGAGAGAGAGAGAGAGAGAGATGAGGATGATGACGTGAGGGCACATACCTGGTTATGGCGATAGTCTGCAAGAGGCGACATCTTCATGTACTTCGGTGGTTGCTGACATCAACAGTTGCATTGTCAATTCGTAGGCTGGAAGTAGTTGTGGGATAGTAGTCTGGGCGCTGTCGAGCGCATCGGTTCGGCACCGCACAAGGCAGTGCGGGACCCTCCCGGTCGCGTCACGCAGGAGTTGGTCTTAATCCTTGTCGCGAATACTTAATGGAGCTTCCACAAGCCACTCCGGCCGAGTGCGCCAGCCATACCTCTCGCGAGCCCCTACGGCAAGATAGGGCCTACGCGAGGCACGACTTACCTCCACCTTACGGGAGCTGTCACCTCCCTTCGGTGGGCGTATCCCCGCTGAGCTGGCAGTCCACAGTACGAAAGCTAATCAGCTGCAGTCGCAGAGGTGGACCAGCCGAGGGCGTTTCTCGTTCGTTGTAGCATAGGGGGTACGCGCGGTATTACGCCTCTATCGGGCCCGCACGCGAACCGACATCTTGGGGGGGCTGAAGTCCCAACCGCAACCCGTCGTCGATCGACTAGGACGCATCCCACACACCAAGCGTACACCAATCTAAGAGCATAAAAATCAAAATACGCACTCATACGCACATATATATGAAACGACAGCGGACAAACAACACGACAACACTCCTAGTCCCTTAGTAGTCGTCCCATAACCCTCCAATGCGGAAATCGGGTAAGCGTCACGCGCGAGACTTTGTATGAAACCGCGCGGACGTAAGGCTAACTCATATCGATTAGCAATGCACGACTACGCACGCAGTCGCAAAGATGGAGTACTATGTAGTGCCCATAATCTGACGGTCCCTCGTGGATCCGAGTACCGCTTATGACACTCAAGTGTCAGACTCGAAGTATCGTGAAGGCTTGCCCCTTCACGATATTGCACGGTTGAAGGAATAGTCGTGCGGCCGCCGCGGCACCTCCGACCTTTAGGCTGAGTGTCTTGGCAGGCAGGGCAAATAGGCTCTGCGCGGGGGGAGATTCCTTCCACGCAGAGGACCTCGAATCCGGGCCCAGGACCAACGTCTGACTAAGAAATCTTTAAGAAGCATACAATTCATAGGGGGGGTTTTCTTCCCTTTTCAATCTCGACTTCGATTAAACCCCTAAGCGTGAGCCCTTTTTGGCCACGCGATCACCCAACAAACATATATAGATATATATATATATGTGAAACTCCGACGAAACAGTTTGTCACAGCCCCTCGTTTGTTGTCCTCTTCTCCCTCTCTGCCTACGGTTTACAGGGCAATTCTATTTGACGATATATATATATATATATATATATATATATATATATATTGTCACAGAACTATTGACTAAGAGCATGAGCATGTGAAGTAGAAGAAGAAATAAGATGAGCAAAGAAAAGAAAAATGAAAGGAAAGACAGGCAAAGAGACAGACAAACCAGAATGACACTTTGTTTCACAGTATTATTATTTCTTTCAGTCTTTTACAAAAATTATTTACACTGAATCAAAGGATCAAAAAC